AAAAATATATTAAGATAAACTTTATAATGCCATGTGTTGTCGCCGTCTTGGTAACGCATAATATAGCGAATTGTTCGTTAAGATAAATCCACAACACTCTGTTTTTTTATATCACAGTGAATTGACCTTTTATCTAGTTTAAACGTAAGAATTTTCGATACCTAGGGTATATTGTAATTTGTAGGTTATTTTTTTGAAATAAGTTATGAGCATTTTTAAATCTTATATATTAATCATCATTGTAAACTAAGATATCGTTGTATTTGTATGCATTTTTTTTTTTGTTTGAAAGAATATTTTCAAGAGTTATGAGCTATGACAATATTTCTGAAATATTTCTTGTACCGGGAACGAACGTTCCTTGAGGAATATTCCTTGTAGCACATCACTATAGTATAAACTATCAAACGATAACAGTAATAAATCTAAATAAAATCTAAAAAAAAGTCAACGGGAGGTTGATAAAATCGTAAAAAAAAAAAAACTATTATCGAAGACTTATGAAAAGTGTTAAAAGTTATTTATTACATTTGTTTTTTGTGGAAAATACTTCAGGAATCAGCATATTGTACAAAAAGTCGACAAAGAGTTCGCCAAGTCTGTTTTCATTTTTGGCGCCGTTCAGTTCCTTTGTCTGGCTCTGGGTGATAACGGCCTATTGCGGCGTGTCTGTTCTACTATTTATCATGGCCAGGATCAGCCCTTACGAATGGACCAACCCTTACCCGTGCATTGAAGAGCCCGAGTTTTTGGAAAACCAGTTTAGCTTGTCAAACGCATTTTGGTTTACGATCGGATCGCTCATGCAGCAAGGTTCCGACATCGCTCCGATGTAAGTACAATGAAACTCTTACGCATAAAGAATCAAAATTGTATCCAAAGCAATAATTTTTTTTAAATAAACGAAAGTTGTATTGTTACCAATCAGGTATTACAGATAATAATAATTTTTTCATTTTGATTTATAATTGCTTTGATCTTGAAATCAATATTATAAGTGGCTGTGATTTCTAAAAATGAGTTTGGTCATGATTATTACTAATAATCATTTATGATATCATTATTTCAATTCCATGTAGCGCTGTGTCTACTAGACTGGTCGCAGGTATTTGGTGGTTCTTTACGCTCATTATGGTTTCGTCTTACACTGCGAATTTGGCTGCGTTTTTGACCGTCGAGAGTGTGTCGGAACCGTTCAAAAACGTAGAAGATTTAGTGAACAACCAAAACATGATATCGTTCGGTTTAAAGAAAAGAGGATCTACGGAAGAATATTTCAGGGTATGATTTATTCAATTTATTCATATATGAAAGATATTACAAAATATTAGTATATAGTTATTATGACTAAAATATATTAAAATAAAATATTTTATTCATCATACAGTTTATATTATTTTTATATAATTATTTCAAATTTAAACATTTCATTTGTAATCAATTTTATACATATCGTCGAGGTCTGTAATATAGGTACCTACTTGAGTTCTATAATATCCATAATTATATACGTGCATATAATATGTACAATTATTATTATACAGCACGAGTCAGATAGATTGGCCAGAAAGGAATTGTATGGATAAGGAAAGCCAGAGGTTCTCCGTGTTTGTATGTTATTACTTTATTAGTTACCAAATATATTAATACATTAACAGTTGTTTCTATACATTTAAAATTGAAATACGTGTCTACGCTAAGAATTTAAAAGCAAATGTTCTGCTAAAGACATTTTTATGACAAAAATTAAAGATGTTATTGATTATTATACAAAGAAAATATGCGAAATATATGAAAATATTTATAATAAACGATCCGGAGTGGCGATGGCTGAAACACACTGCGACTAATTTAAGTTACACTCAATGGTCAGCGCCATTATCACACTATGTCAGTCTATCTAACGTTGACTGTACACTAGGGTGACCATACGTCCTGTTTTTTACAGGATTGTCCTTTATTTCAGCGTYGTGTCCTGTTGTCCTGACAAACTTCATTCAGGACGCTTTTTGTCCTATTATTTTGATCAAACAAAATTAATGAATTTGAAAACGAAACTTACGAAAATAATGAGTAATGATTATAATTGTAATCTTGTGATTGTCTGAATTTATCAGTATGGGGTATGTCTACGAGTTATAGGAGCTTATCGGAGTTATCGAATTGACCGCTATCGGACTATATGCTTTCGATTCTATCTATTTATATCACTTAAAATACGTTTTGTGAATACGGTTATCGTTATTATAGCGAATAGCTATTGCTATTAGTTTGGTACCAACAATCGTTGAGTGTTGTCGACTTGTTGATAATAGTTAATATATATACATATTAAGTATTAATAAAAAAAAATTAAATTATTATTAATTTTGTCCTGTATTTTTTTAAAAAAATATTTTATTGTTTGATATGTTTGTATTTTTTTAAAAAAATATGGCCACCCTACTGTACACATTTTATAATTAATCATTAAATGTATGTCACATCATTATAAAATATATCTGTCTAACATGTATTGTAATGTACTGTAACGTTGTACCTACAGGAGAGCTGACCGCTATCGAGCTGTACACGAATAATTTAATAATTTATATTTTCACAGGAATCAACAAACCCTACTTATAAAAAAATATATGATATCTTGCAAAAAAATCAGGCCTGGTACACCACGAGTAATGACGATGGCGTTAATAAAGTACTCAATGAAAATTATGCGTTTTTCATGGAGTCCACGTCGATCGAGTGAGTAAAAATATTAAAAAATTATAATATTATAATTGTAGCAACTATACTGCAAGAACTCGAAATTATATAATATTATTTAACACGTGAGTTCAGCGCATAATATTATCGTCGATCGTACTGTGTCAGGTCACATTTCTATACGTTTCCATCATAGGACATGGTCGCAACTAGGTGGGCTGCGACGAAGGGGCTGAGTATATATTTTACCTAGGAGTAATATTTTTTATCATTATCATTATTTATTCAACGTTTTGGTTTATACTATTTACGCACGTTAGTGGACCATAGAAAAGAAAWCAGTCCATAAATCAGTAACATTCATTTAACGACATTTATTATTATAATAATTGTCGGCTATATTATAGATACATGGTCGAGCGGAACTGCAAGTTGGCCCAGATTGGCGGACTGYTGGACAACAAAGGATACGGGATTGTGATGAAAAAAAGTATTCTGTCTAATAATATTGTGTGCGGTTGAAAAAAAAAATATAGAAATCATAACATGATACCTAACCAATTATTGCTTTTTGTCACTCTATTAACCGGCGTTTATGTTTTTGTGGTTTTTGTTGTGTTTGCACAGACGCGAGTTTCCGAAACGTTCTGAGCGCAAACATATTGAGCCTGCAGGAGAAGGGAAAACTGACGGCGTTGAAGAACAAATGGTGGAAAGAGAAACGCGGGGGCGGAGCGTGTCAAGTAAGTGTGATGACGTCTCGTCCCGGCCCGAAAACCTACTTTTAGACGACAAGTCGGGTATTGTTATCAATAATTCAGCCATCGCAGTAAGGGATAATTTATTTTCATCCAAATATTAGTACCTAACCGTTTTTCTCAGAAAAAAAAATATAGATAATAATATTGTATTGCTGATATTTTAAGTCTGACATGAGTTACGAGCGTTTTTAAATATTGCAATGTACACTCCGCTCACTGCAACTAATTTAAAACTAAAAAAATCGGAAAAACGCTTTCACCAAACACATATATGGATTATGTTGTTACATTGCTGTGTTACACATCTGWAGAAGACGGAAACGGCACGCTGTATGGGTGACGCGTCACACTTCCGCTTTGTCATTTTCGTTCAACACTGAATTTTCTAAGACGATAATAAACGCGGTTATTTGCTGTGAAATTGTCTAGTATATAAGATCGGAACCCGGTTAATCGTTGAGGGGGTGAAGGAGGGGACCCGGAAGAGTCGAACCTCACACATTTTAATCAGCTGCTCTCCAACGCGGCGATGAATATATTAATAAAATATTAAATTATAATATGTAGGACACCGACAATAACGAGGCCAGCGAGTTGAGCATGAAAAACGTGGGCGGCGTTTTTATCGTGTTGTGCAGTGGCGTCGGCGTTGCCGCCATACTGGCAGCGATGGAAATGTTCTGGACGCTGTGGAAAACGACCAGCAAAGAAAAGGTTCGTATGGACAATATGGTATCAAACACAACTGTGGTTATAAGAGGTCGACTTTGATCGTAAATAATGTATTACACGAYGAATTTATGTCATATTGTGATTTTCTTGCGTTTCGACTATAATAGTCTCGTGACTTGCGATTCGGTTTGAACCATAATATTGAATTTCGTCTCTATATATTTTTATTTGAACGGTCATCATTAAGCGTACGTAAGACAAAATATATATTAGTGAGAATAAAATGAAAAATGTTGTAGTCGAAATGTTACGATAAGAACGTCCTGTTCAATGCTAATCAAACGAAACACAATGCAAAAATAAAAAACTTTGTCACGGGCTTAACCCACGCGGTTGTGTCGCTAAATATAATTTTTTAAATGTCTTTGATTATACGATTTGGTGCGTTGGCTTTTTTGAAAAAAAAAACTTTTTAATCTACCACCGATACAATACACTCGACTGATTTCGTGTTCCTTTCGCGCAGGTGTCGTTCAAGAGCGAGTTCAAAGACGAACTCAAGTTCATCGCCAAGTGCCGCGGTTCCACGAAACCGGCCCGGAGGAAGCAAAACAGCAGCGCGGACAACTCGAACCCGACCGGATCTAACCAGTACATGAACTCCGATCGACACTACGACTACGAGTCGTGATCGCGGCCAATCGACGACGGCACACCTATCGGGACATTATTTACCTGCAGATATCTGTCGAACGAGTGTCAGCAATCTGCGTAGAGTTTTTTTTTTTTTCTAGTCCGTAAATAATATTATATACAGCAATAATATTGTATTATACAATACGATAATTATATTATTTATTAATAGTATTCATCAGTATTATATCTATCACTATTATTATTATTATTATTATTATAAAATATACAAATATTTTATACCCATATACACAGGCTCTTAAAATGTAATGAAGACAATATTATTCGAGTGTATAAAAAATAATWATTAATATAAAAAATTATTAAATAATAATAATAATTAAAAAAATTATCACAGTCATTTTGTTTTTGTTTTTTGTAAACATAAAAAAACGGTCGATTGAATTGCTATTTACAAAAYCGTATATACATTATTCCCGCAAAACGGCTCTGCTCTCTGCATGACGGCGGGTAGAGGTATTTCATAATAATATCACCGCAGTAGATTTGCGATTTCCTCTCGCGAGACTACTGCGACGCCGCCGCCGTCACTGCTACAGGTCCTGTCCGGTCTACGTTGATGGGCGCAGCCCGTTCCATCAGACACTCGATGCTGGTGCTCTGCTCGTCGGACAGACTGGACGCGGACGAGGACTCGCCGCAGACGGTCCGCGTGACGGAAACGACGTCGTCGTCGTCGTCGTTCCTGTTCATCTCGACCAGCACGGTCGTGTAGTCGGGCGGCGGAGACGAATCGGCCCGCGAGGTCTGTTGGACGTCCGTCGGCGGCGTCGTTGTCGTTCCCGAGAGGACCGTTGTCTGCTGCTGCTGCTGATGGTGGTGGTGATGCGAAGACGACGTGGCCGATTGGACGGTTCGCGCCGCGGCCGACGAGGAAGACTCTCCGAGTATCGCCGACTGATGCTGGTGGTTGCCGAGTACGTGCGCCAACCTGCGCACGCTCCGCCGAATGCTCTGTCGCAGCATTTTCGCGATTCTATATGGTGGCAAAAGAAAAACAAACACGCGAGGGCGCAAAGTTGATAACGGTTCGTTTTTTTTTCGCGAGTGTGTCATGCATAATTATTATACTATATATATAAACAACCGCATATAGGCACTCGGTGAAGTCTGGCCGACGGTCGTCGCGCCGTGAAGCAGTGACGATATTATGGTAGTGGATGATAAGTATATATCAGTCGCCGGCCAAGCGTTTCGCGTTATATATAGATAGTGCCAAGTGTCAAGAAGAAAACCACCGTGAAGTGAATTGCATGCATAGTTAAGGAAATACGTAGGTATAATAGTGTATGTCTATACGTATTATTATAATAATTACTATAACTACTCACTACGAAGGATGTTAATTGTTTTTCTAAATACGCGATGTTGTTATACATATAGGTATTATCGTTAATGTTTTCTAAATATAGTGTATTACATTGTATTAGGTAAGTAGGTAGATAAACGTTAAAAATGTGTTATCGCAATGTTAAAATTTTTTTTTACATTTAATTTTGCATTCAACAGTCTGAGATAAAGAGTAATGACTAGGTGATATTATAGGTATAAAAACGATATGACAAAAAAAAAAATATCACAACATTATGACATATAGAGTGTGATTATCAAAAATAATAATAATATGTACAATTATTATAATAATATTATTAATGACGTAAGTATACTTAACAATAATAATATATATATTATACAGTCGTGTAAAGCAGAGCGTGCGATGATAGATTATAAAAAGGTACACTACACTAAAACTACTGTTAGTCGTTTTCGTAAACCGTTACTAATTCAGTGAATCGTAAAGACCTTGCTCCGGTGGCCGTGGAATACGATGGCGGCGGCGTGTACTTGGGCGGCGGGTCTTCGATCTGCACGGTCGCCGAGCCATTCGCGACTGCCTCGGAAGTCGCCTCGCCGCTTTCCGGTGGTCTGCGGGTCTCGATCACTGGCCGGTACAGCATCTGAATCCGCTAGAGTAGGCACAAACGGTTTTATTCAGTGGCGTTCTATGTTGCATAATATACCATGCACTGGTAAATAGTGGTATAACCGGCAGATACCCTAGCTGCAGTGGTGGTATACGCTATTATGCGAGGGGAGTTTTATCGCTTATTACGATGACATGACCCGTTTGATCGCCGTGACGCATTCATCTCGATTATATTTTAATAAATTAATTACGGTGGTTATGTGTATGTTTTTTTTTCTATCGTAACTTATAAACAACCAAACAAGATGGACTAGAAAAATCATAGTTTTTTTTTTCTTCTGTGTAGAWTAATATTGTTTATCTTGCGCGCACGCGATTAAAAAGGGAGTATAATATAGTTAGTATTTGCCACGGAATCGTGTATAATGGTGCAGGCACTTGTTTAGCCGCACGAATTCCAAACGAAAACTGAAGGGKTCAGGTCAAAAACGATAAGATTTMATTTTYGTAAAAAATGGGGTTTTTTTTGTTGAGACRAGTACATCTGTACAGCAGGAATCTGACCACCCGTAAAGGGAATATAAATTGTAATTGCAGAGAGCTGTCTACATTTTCTAAAACGTTGTAAAAATGTATAATTTCAATATAATATACAATTTATTATCTATGTGATATACGAGCTGCACATATTTAAAAAAWTTTAAAAAATGTGTGATTAACTATTTTAACACCACTAAAAATTCCAATTACGCCACTGAGTTCAACGTGTATACGGCTTATTGTTATTAATTATATGAGTCGTAACTAAAATATATAACGTGCACTCACATCGAACAAATCCGGTGGTCCAGTGGCCAGGTACCGACAAGTCTGTACGATTCCAGCGAACGGGACGATCAGCAGCGGTATGATCTGCAGCAAACAGCCAAATTCCCGGCTGGACGACGACCAATACATGGACTGAGACACAGTTTTCCAGTTATACAGCCACCGATATCCGCCGTTTTTAAACACGGAGGTGCTAAGTAGCTGCGAGAAGGCGACAACACGATGGTCATTAAAACATTAAACGTATATACAGGGTGATGTCTTAAGCGTGCTCGTCATGTTTTTTTACGTTTAAATTGTGTACATTTTCGACTTTCGATTTTCGGATTTTTTAATCCACTTKAGCCCATTTGTGGTCGAATCCTTGAAATTTTTTGCACCACTTAAATACGATCCTATGCATACACAAACTTCTGCTGTGGGAACCCCCTTTTTCATTTTTAATTATCGAGCAGACTTTTTTTTCTTGAGAACAGGTATATTTTAAAATTGTAAAAATCGTAATTTGAATTAATGTATTATGTGGTATTAGAGAAAAAAATAGGAGTGAGCATGCTCAAAAAATTTTACCCTGTACATACAATATATGCCTATTCAAAGAGCATATTATTTGTACAACAATATATTATATTATTCGACAACACTTACGATCAGAGCCACTGGCACGACGATGTTCCAGTCGAACGTCAGCATCGGCGCCATCCACACCTGCAGGTGATGGTTGGCCTGCGAAAATAACGTCGCCACTACCGTCTCACCGCTGTACGGACGACCGCGCACTATGAACAATGCTCCGATTTCTAGCAAATACAGTATCATTATCCACCAACCACATCCGACGCAGTAGTCCATTAAGTACACGATGAAAATGCCCAGCTAAAAAATCATAACCAATGAAATACAGTGTGCAACAATGTATAGGTGTATTTTAATATATAATATGGTGGCCCGAACAGTCATGGGACCATGAAAAATGTCCRTCTTGACAGACTTAAATATTTATAATCCATCTATATTAATAATAAGAAACGGTGTTTGTGCGTGTGCGTGTGAACGATCCACAGCCAATGAGTCTATCATGCACATTGTTTTGAAATTTGGTACGTCATACTCGTAGGTAATATCTCATACTCTGCGCGGGTGCGTGCAACTCGAAAGCAGATTTTTAAATTTTCCATTTAAAAAAAAGGTTGTTTTATGGCATATGAACATAGCGAATATTTTGTTGTTTGTATAGAGTCGTTACTGCAGTTTACATCGTACAATTAAACAGTGTTATTACCAACTTATTGTAATTGCATTTCTTTTAGACACGTTTATTACCTATATTTTATTCAACAACACTCCAATCACGATGTTAAAACTATATGCGTATAAGCTTATCATTTAACGAAGTTCAAGACAGGTTAATTCACTGGAGTTATTTAATTTGTCACGGGCAAAACCATACAACTATGACCAACTTATATCATTATAAATTAACGCAATCAACTTTCATAATCCGTGCCTTGACGTGTTGTCGTACAAGTCGTTCATAATGTTGTTGTATACAAGTATGGAATTCAATTTGAATTTGAATTAATATGACCGTCCCTTCGGTACAAAGATTTCGGGAGACATATATTACTCCGTAAAATAAAACGTCCATTACAGACAGATTGAAATACAACGGAACAAGCGTACCTATCTTTTTGCAGGAAYTTTATCTTTTTTTACGTWAGAGAAGTGTCCATTAAGCCACATTTAACTTTACAATCATATTACACTAATTGAAGTCAAATTTCTAGTTCGAAATACGATGACATTTGACAGTGTATATAATATTATATATAGTGTTATGTGGATTATAATAATATATTTTATTTGGATATGAAATGATTCAATTAGATAATTAAATGTCACTCACTTCAGTCGCCATAAACAGACCAATCGAAAAGGCTGCCGCACACGACAGAAACGTGATCGTTGTACGCCATTTCCTCAACTTGAACGGATGCAAAGATATGATCCCGCTGACAACACAGTGCCATATTGCGATCTGTAACGATTTAACGAGCGAATGTTTTTTTAATAAAAATATTGATCAACATGTTATGTTTACAATAATCTTTTGGCATTTATTATAATAGTGTACGTTTATTGTGTTAACGTACTTGTTGCCCAATTCCGAACATGATGAGCACGAAATAAAACAGGACCGACCAGAACGGTGAGATGTTTTTGGCACCGATCATGGCAAACGTGGCCGGAAACAGTTCGGTCGCCAAGCGCATTGCCTGGTATCCGCTTTCTTGCGGCATCCCCGGCACATTGTTCTTCATCGTCCTCTCACCCAAAAGCAGACTGCTGTGCTGCATCCATCGCACGGGCGTCAAGTGTTTGCGGGCCTGAGCGGAATTCTGCTTGAACAGAAACGTATAGGAACTCATCCGTTCTGAAAACATAAAATAAATAACGGTAAACGAAGGAAGATATCATCTTTACGACGCGTGTCGGTTAGGTTACGGCATAGGTGTGGTCGGGTTCAATGTAATCAGTGACTTTTATCACTTGCACATGAAATATTCCTCTCGGCGAAGGAATA